TCCATGGGAAGTTGAAACCCTTCCCTGGTGAGAGAAAACCGCGGTCACGCTGCTGATTCGAAATAAATCAATAAAGTACTCAATTGTACGAAGTGTACTGTAGTGTATTCAACCTCACATTACGATCAGTTCGGACTGTGAGCAAGGTATTAGAGCTTTACCTCTCTTCCTCAAATATAATTGTGGAATAGAAATGTGTACCAACTGAGCACATCTGATGAATACGCTTCCGCAATCTTCTTCTATTCAGAATCACAGACGAATTGAATAAGGACGCGGCCCCTATTGTATGTTGTGGTGGCCAACTGAAGCACGAGTCGATGCCTTTGCCCTCACAGACAAGTCTGAAGCCAATTATCTGACTCCGTAAGAAAGTAAGGTTTGGTTGGGTTGCGCGGATGTCTAGTCGAGATTTCAGCTCAGAACTAAAAGAGTGTGTGGTTGTGCGACTATTGCCACTATACCACCTCATCCCAAACACGACGTACCCTTGAAAAATGCATTTCTTTATTTTTTGAGCATCTAGTAAAGGGCAGTAAACTTCGGAATCGGTGAATAAGAAGAATTTACTTAGCATGGCTCTGGATATTCCACATGCATGAGAAACTCCTTAAATGCGATACAGCCAGGTGAAATTTGTCGATTAGCCTCGGCTCAGATAAGAACAGTATCAGACCAAATCATATAATAATCCTAACTGTTGAGTTCAAATACGCTCAAAGTACAAAAATGAGCTGATTGGGAAGTCATTACGCACTTCGCACCCAGGATTTTTTTGGGTTTCTTTGTTTTCGGACTCTGATTCGAATTTAATCGAGACTTAATCTTCTCATTCTAATCTGTTCCTGTTTTCTTGCGGCCATTTTATGTGGAACAGTAATGTGACGTTTTGAATTACAGTAGCGCTTAAAAGTATTCGGTCAAAAGCTTCTTCGGTCGTACTTTTCAGTCATAACTCCTTCCCTACTGAATCTAATCAAGCAAAATTTCCATATGTGTAGCATTGGTGTAGTGTGATTATTTACCACTATTAACCTGCCATCTGATCATGTTCCAGATATCCCAAGGGGCTCGAGCAAAAAATCAACTGGAAATACGAATGGTGATCCTTCTAGGAGTCCTTTCCTTTTTGCCATGTCTTAAGTGTACGAGCACTAATGTCGAACCCAGAAGAGAAGAAAAACGTACATAAGGTCGGAATAACTGCAGACGTCATAAACTTGCTTTCAGCACAGTCTACAAACACCTCCTCATTAGTATGTGGATGTGGCTGTTTGCAGTCAAGTAGTGTAGGGCAGTATAAAATATGCCTCAGCCAAACATATCAAAATTCCATGTGATTTGCTCCACTGGAAAAAAGTTACGGCAAGTTAAAGTTGGCCGAATACTTTTGAGCGCTACTGTACATTGGATGACTCAGCTCAATGGAATCGTGATCCTTACCATGAAATGGGGTTCCTGAAGACCTTGCAACTTTAAGAACCCCTAGAATTTTTGCTCAATCGGGTCTACTCTTGCTGGTGGTATGAAACGAGAGCACCGCCAATACACATACACAGTTCACTACACAGGTTTTTGTATTAGGTTGAGTCATAAGTCCTCGGACAAAGTGACAATGATGAATTCTAGAGATCATAACTCGGGAAAGAGGTGACAAAAATGGCAGGCGAGGCATCGCTAGATAGAGTA